CCATGGTCCTTGACACTTCACTTAGCAATTTGCTGCCCTTGAAAAATGTAAGACTTGAAATTGAGATTTAAATTGCTTTGGCTCAGTTTGGCAACACTGGGAAATAAAGCCTTATTACTTTTCACTGTGGGTGATCACCTAACTCTTTACATCTGCATCGGTTGGACAGAGCTAATTTTTCACACTCAATCTGAAGTTTTCCTTTTTTCTTCAATGTGGTTATGAGACAATGAGCCTCCATGTGTAACTTCACTAAAACTAATGAAATTATGACAAAAAACACTGTTACCAGTAATATCAGGAGGTGACTCCTAATACTCCCCATCTCAGTCATACATTTTTACATGGGGTCTACCCAGACTATAGATATAAAATAGCTACTCCTGTTTCTCCACTCAAAACTATTCCCTGCCTGTCCTGATTTGTCCCAGACTTCCTCTCAAGCAAAAATGTATGCCTTGTACCACAAACCTTTTGTTTTGATGCAGAAACTGTATTTAGCTGCTTCTTCAGTGATAGGTCTGCAATTAGGGACTTATAGAGGCACAGAAGCTAAAATTATTTCCCTGGAAAGTGTCCTTCCTGCTTCATAGGAAGCCACAACTTGTTGTAGATACTGCCTCTAATGACTGGTATACATTAGAAAAGTTATATCAGTGTATCTAGGTATTAATTTACTGATATAGCTATAGTGATATTAGCCTCAGAATGGACATACACATACTCACAAGAGTCCAGGTACAGACATTACACTTTCATTGAGATAAGTGATCGGAAACTGGTATATACCCATCACAGAACAGAAGTTCGGCACCAATAAACTGGTTTAAAAATGGCGGAACCTTGTCTAATGTTTGTCTGCCCTCCTCCCTCCCCCCACACTAAACGGCGAATGTGCGTTTTGTTGGCTACCAGTCTAAACAATGTTGCTTACAGAAAACTGTGTAACATAGAATGATTCTGCCTTGGGCTTTATGAATGTCTGTATCTAGCCATAGAAAAGTAGCTTGTAGTGGTATAACTTATTAAGTTTCTAAACTCAATAATATATATAATAGTGTAAGCATGATTCTTGGTTGGAAACCAGATTTCTGCTCTACAGGAAATTCCAAAATTAAAACAAACAAACAACAAACAAAAACATGCTGCATCATAATGAAAGTATAGAATTTCTTTGGGAAATCCAACTTTGACTTTCCAAAATAAAATTAACAAAGCGTCTTGAGTTGCTTCCAGACCTGACAGACCTTTCAGGTTCTGTGGCATGGAGTGGTACAAGCTCTGGTCCAGCTTTTCTCTAGGGTTTCCAGCATTCCTGGGCCACTGCTTATAAAACAAAGTTCCAGGATTCCCAAGAAAACTTGCCTGGTTGCCTTCAGAAGTTTAAAGGAAATCAAAATGTTCTTGCAGAATATTTAAATGTCATTGAATTAGTATTTTTAATGGAAACACTTTCATCATAACAGTTCTGACTAGCTCTAATAAATACCTTCATATCAATATCACAGTCCCTACTGCAAGGAAGTTGGAGAGGATTTCCCATATTGCTATAAAGTGGCAGAACTCTTTAGTTGAATGACTACTAGTATTTTAGCATGAAAGACTGATAACTGCACTGTAAAGATCCTACCTCTAGGACCATATTTCTTTCACATGGATTTTCCAGTTGTCCAACCCATGTCGGTCCATCCACGGAACAACCTTCTTCACAGTTCAGGTGACTTCTTCCTGGGGCCCATAGGTTCCAAGTCTGAGGTAATTACAACAAATGACGACTCCAGTAATACTGTTCAAGAACAACATTTTTCTTTATAGGACTCTGATGAATGTAGGTTGGTTTGAGCGTAGAAAATCATGTAGGCAGAGCTAATACAGGTTTAAAGGCTAGGTAATCATCCAAAATGGAAACTTAATAACATGTATTTATTTCATTCAAATGAGCAGAATTACCTAATCTTAAAATCAAAGGTACTGTGTTCAAATGCCAAAAGCAGAACAGTGAGAGCTACTAACTGCAAAAGCAATCTGACTAATTCAGCTCTTTTTACTGTTTAAAAAAAAAAAACAATGAAAGACTTGGTTGTTTAAGAATTTCTTTCATAATCAAAATTATTTTGAGGGCTTACTTGGACATAACTTAGTGTGTAAATTTTTATGTTTTCTAGTTGTAATTCCCAATTTATGTTTTAATTGATTGCCTGAGTCACACGGTATTTGCTTTTATTCTCTGGCTGGATGCCTCTTAAACAAACAGCTTTCAAATTAGCCATTGAATACTTCTGGATGAATGTTCTTATGAATACAGAGTTTCATGTGTATCCACAGTAGTTTTTCTTGCCACAAGCATTCTTGGAAACAGGCTCTTATTCCCATGAAAGTTTTCAAAATGAAGAAATGCAGCCAGAAATGCTATTAAAGCAAATCTATACTTTTTATTTGAACTTATGTTCACAAAAACTTCCCTTCTCCCCCTCTGCTTGTTATTTAGCCAGGTCTGTGTGAAAGTACATTTTAGGATTATTTGAGTCACATGTACAGTATCTGATTTTTAATATCCTTTCAGTCTCACTTTGAATTTCTCTGCCAGTTTTTTTTTTGTTTGGATCAGGAAACCTTTATTATTTTAATTAGCTATTTAATATGGAGAACAGAACAATTTGGCAGTCCATAGCCAGAATTAACATTGTGGAAATATAGACAATGTGACAGATTTTGGCTTCTTAAAGCAAGAATAAGAAATACAATCTGTTCTCACCAGATGTGCATGGAGTGGTATACTTGTCACTGATCCTGGAGGTGGCTTCTTGCCTCCCATACCATATCTGTTTACAGTTATTGTGGCCTCAGAGTCTTAGGGTAGGGGCTATTTTCTCAGTTTCTACCAGGAAGAGCAAACTGGTAAACACCACTGAGTGGCTCAGGAATGAGTCCTGATGAGCCTCTTCCTTATTTAAAAAAATTGAACAACACAGTCTCAGAAGTATCTTTACTGCTACTCGGGGCACAGCTTCCTTTTCTCAGCTCTTGTCTGATCAAGGACTCTATTTTAGGACTTTGTGATCTGGGATTTGAAATGCCAGACACCTTTACTAACTGGACAACTCTATTAGTTACATTGAGAAGCACTATGCTGGGATCCTAACCAACCTGGACTCCCATTTTCAGCAAGGGACAAGAGATTCAGGGGTGTTCAGAGAAGGAAGTGGAATATGCTGAAGAGATTTTCCCAAACCCTAGGGATCCTAACCCTCCCAGTTATCAAACCAGCTAACCTGCTCCTACTTTTTGGTGACACGTCTCACTCCTGAACAACCCTAAGCTCTTTGTCTTATTTTGGTTGCAATCATTAACAGCATTATATGTGGTAAATCAACCATTGTCTCAGTCACTATTAGCCATCTTATTCCACAGCTGAAAAGAAGAATACTGCTTTCTAGATAAGCAAGTCCAGCTATAGTGCTACTCTCTGAAGAACAAGCAGTGCTGTATTTATTACTGGGAATTAAGTCTTCCTGATACTACTCAGCCACAGCTTGGTATTTGCCTTTTTCATTGAAGCCAGAACATGAAAATAAAGCAAAGCATCCTTTAAAAGTTGTTCCAAGGGCTACTGTGAATGCCTTCATTATTTTATTACTAATAATGGAACATTTTTCTTATACAATTGTTTCATCAGCTCATTATCCTAGACAAGGGGCAAGTTCATATAATCCACAAATCTCATTATTTCGGTAATAGCAGCGGATGCTAGAATGGCAACACTCTAATCTTCCAGAGAAAAGTGTCATGACAACAATCACTAATTCAGCTTTCACCATATTAAGCCATAAATGTTGTTCCCAATTGAATATGCAACATGTTAGCAGGCAGACTTACAATAATATGCAGCAGTCATCTGCAACTTTTAAAAAACCTGGCTGTAATCAAACTTATTTTCTCTTTAAATTTCTGTTAACAAAAACTGCAGATATTTAACATACCATAATGATTTAGTATTGTTGCATTTAATACTTTTATATTGATGTAGCATGAAGGTTGCTACAATAAATACTTAAAGTATATCTATTAAACTCAGCGAATGCTAATCACCTTAATTTTCTGAGCACAAAAATGTAATAAATAAAGAATAGTTAAGAGAATCCAAAACAGGCCATTTCTACTGCCACTCTTCAATGATTTGGTCATTTTCAGGGATGAGGTGCATTTCTCTCTCTCTTCTCTCGTTTCTATTTTATTCCCATCTCTTTCTTTCTCCTTTTAACATTCTTCTGTTATATTTGAATAAACTAAAAAAAAAAAAACCCTCAGGTTCTGCATTGCGATTTGCACTGTGGAGGTATTTAGTTTGCAGATTCTTTTCATCGCTTTTAGTATAGTAACTTTTTAAGGAAAGCTGATTCTATTTGGTGGCATCAGAATTCAGGGATTTCACATCAACAGCTTAGAAGTCTGAAGTGGGTAAGTTCATCAGTGCTATGAGGTTATGCTCTGTTATGTTCCAGCACCTGGAGGGCAATGAGCAATGTGCAGTTTGGTGAAAGTGCAAAACGTTTTTGAATGTATTTCTAATATGGACCTTTGTGTATTTAGAGTCTTATAATGTACTACAACATTAGACAGTGCCATTAGGTCTTTCAGTGGATGCATAGAGAAGATATAGCATAAGCTGCATCTGTTAAATGAATACAGAGAATGGTAAATATTAAACACAGCAATTCTCCTAAATCAGGGAAACGCAATGAATGGTTCACACCATACAAGAGAGCCATGTAAACAGAGCATGTGATGGAATATTCCTACTACCCTAAAAATTAAATAGTGCCTGATAAGAAATGAGGATATTGCACCAACCCAGGTTAGTACCATCCTCCCAGCCCTGCAACAGCTGGTTAAGTGGTCCTACAGGCCATATAAATTGCCCACCCCTGGGTTGGGCCCTTGGTCACAGATGAATTAAGTTGTTAAAGGTGTGATTGCAACTGTTAGGCATGACTTAAGTGGGTCCAGGCATCTGCAATCCTGGCAAAATGAGTGTGGATTCTCAGCATGTAGCCTTCTGGATGTATAAAAGAGGACTCAGAAAAATTCAGGTCAACCATCTACCAGGAACAGCAGGATGAACCAGTATCACAGAGCAGTCCAAGGTGCCATCACAAGCACCTGTATTCACCCCATTGATTTCTTCAGTACTACCAATCCCTACACATAGGAGTTATTCTACTACCTCTCCTACCTCAGATCCTGCTCAGGCATCTCCTCCTCAGGTCCCCTTCATACTCTTCTCGCTTGCACACTCAGTCTTCCTTCTCATTCTCTTGTCTTTTTTACTCCACTTCTCAAATCTCTAGTTCCCTTCAATGAGACACCAAATCCAAATGACAGGGCCATAAATTCAGAAAAATGTGAACTTTGAGTATGGTAGGGAGGAATTTTGGCTAGGAAATTAACCTTTGTTTTGCCTTAAGAACACAACATATTTTTCCCAAATTGAAAGCAGTAAGGCTGAAGTCTTTCAAAGATTTATTCAGTTAATTAACTTTACACAGTGAGTAATATCACTGATTGCAAACAACAAGCACCCACAAATCCCATTGTAATCAATGGAAAATGCCAATGCTTTGCATACCTGAATATCAGTCAAATTAGAAAAAAAAAAATAGACCTTACTTATGGATTTAGAAGCCTAACTTAAGGAATCTAGGTTTGATAAGTTTGGACACACTTTTAAGTTTGCATGTCTATGTAAGTTCTTGAGTTACCTTCCAATATACACCACAATGTCCATCTACTCCCAATACTACCCATAGTTTTTAGCCAATCCCATTAACTACCTGGAAAAGAATTAACCATAACCCCTATGAACTCCACTGGGAAGTTTTTAAATGCTACTTACTCTATTTAAAATCCTAAACTGGTTGTATTTAATATGCATCTGCCACCTTTACTGCATTATTTCAATACATATAGATAATCACTGAATTATTCTCCATAACAGCAACAGAAAGTCAATGGAAATTAGCTCTGCACCACTGCTAGCTTTCCTTTCATCATCAGGGTGATTGACTATAGTCACATTTTTAGTGTGCCCCAGAGAAATAAGACTTGACAGAGGTGGGAAAAGGAAGGACTTCCATCTCATGTACATAAAAGTAATGTGCAGTTCCAAGAACACAGTTATTAATGTTAAAGTAAAATATCTTGCAACTACACAGCTTACCTACCTAGCTCTAGAAGTCAACATTTGGCCAGATATTTACATCATGTCATCCATACCTGCTTCACCTCAGTGACTATGCTGTTTTACAATTCATGCCTCTATTCCAAGTCTGAAGTATAATTGATGTACCTGTGTCATGGTATTTTTAAAAGAAATATTAACAAAAGCCACCATATGCTGTGTACCTGTCAGCTTCTTAAACAGCCTTAGTTGAAGAAATAAAGTCAAATAATAGTATTCATTCTCAGGGTCTGGAGATTTTTTTTAATTATCCTAAATTAAGATTTAAAGTAAAAATAAAAATTAAACTTAAACAGGTTTGCAAGCAATTTCTGAAACCGTTTAATCTCTTTGTTATAGTTTAATAAGTTACTCCTGTACTATGATGAATATCTGTTATAAGCAAGTTGGTAATGGATTTTAATAAATACACACTAGGTTTTACATGTAAAAAATTAAGAGCAAAACTCCCCACAGGTGCCAATCAAAGAAAATCTGAACAAGAGGGCAACCAAGGTGAAAAGAATTAGTTTATATAATAGAAGGAATAAAAAAAAGGATGAAAGGCAAAGAGGAGGTCATTATGATTTTCCCCACATATCTGTTAATTTAAAACTCTCAATCACCTATGCCTTTATGTAATGAAACAAGCATATAAGATTTTTAAAGCATATTTTATTTAGCATTCAGACAGCCTTCTTAACCTACCATAATTCAGTCTATTGGTGCTCAGAAATCTCTGTACTAAAGACGTAGGTATACTAGATATACGCTCCAATTTTTCCTTCATATTATCATTTTAACACAGCGCTGAGAAATCTATTGCAGTTTTGGTGGTAAATCTTTTCATAACACTGTAAACTTTCCCTTTAGAAATGCAACTATTTTTTTCATTCAGTTCTTATATGACAGAATCTGGATTTGATTTTCAAATCTGCTTTTAAACCTTTTTAAAAGATGGAATCAACAATGGCATACCGGAGAAACAAAAAACCTTGAGAAACAATGTTTACATTGTTCATTATATTCAATAATGTAACAACAGTTGTGTGAACTCTGTGGCATTTTCCTTCTCATTGTCAGACTTGGCCAAATCAAGAGGTACAATTTAAGTGGTAGCCTCTTCTTACCTGCTCCACTTGTTGTTTGCTGCAAATTCTCCTTAAAATGATTCCCAAAACGATTTAAACAAAAAATTTAGCCTACTGTGCTCAGAGGTAATCTGCTTCCTACAGCTAGTAGCATCTAATTCTGTCTCCCAAATGGATTGCCTGAGTAGCATCCTCACTGGTGTCACACCAACCAGTGCAAAAAAAAGGCATTTGATTTTTTTTTTTTTTTAAATGACTTGAAAGCCACCAGCATAAATTCTTGGTTTTACTAGGAATGCAAGTCCAGGGAAAAGAAAAGCTGTAAACCTATAAAAAGGTGTTGCATTTGTGGTGCTAAATATGCCCTTGCAGTGCTACAAAATGCAAGTGTACAGTGATTCAGGCTGTCTATAGCATATAGTGCTATGAAATATTACCATTAGCTGTTTCAGAAATTGACTTCTCAACAGTGCTGCATTTTGCAGCACTATGACTAATGCCTGTAAGTTACACATAGTGCTACAGGGGTATCTAGGATACCCAGCATCCTACAGTCCTCTGCTTTTCCTCCCCAACCGTGATAGTGGAGATGGGCACTTCCTGCCACCCCTTGAACAGTCCTGATGCAAGCCCTGGGGACAGTCAGTCTTGCAGTTAGTCCTGGAGAGAGTCCTACTGGTGGTAGGAGTGAGAGCAATTTTACTCACCTTTGTCAGTCCCCCAAGCAGCCAAGGCATGTCTTTGGCAGCTGCTGCTGCTTTTCAGCAGCTGCCAGGTGCTCAATGGTAGCCTGCCCCTTTCCTCAGTAGGGTAAGCTTTCAGTGACTGGGCTTCACCTGGGGTGGAGGATCTTCCATCTAGTAGTCTTCTGTCGCCTACTGGCTGGAGGTGATATTATAACTCTCCAACCAGGGAGCTGGAACATCCATACATCCCAAAGTCCTACAATTTTGTAGTGCTACAATGTGCTGGGACACTTCAAAGCACTACAAACGAACACCTATCCATACCCTCACACACCAGATGTGCAGAGAATTACTAAGAAACCCCTCTACAGATGCCAGTCTGAGGAATTAGGATACTGGTCCATACCTGACTGAATCTTCTCTAAAGAAGATCCACATCTAACTTCATGACTTCTTGTTGACTCTGAGCCATCATTCACAACTCTTACATCTTGACTGTACTGCAGGTAACATGTTTTAATACAGTTCTGATAGAGCAAAATGTTTTGGTGTGCATGACTGCCCTCATCCAGCTTAAGTATCTGCATGAATATCACTTCTCTTCAGCTGAGCTTTTGGATCCAGCTTTCAGAAGTTTAGATTTTAATGCTGCGTATGTGTAGTTGCCTAAAAGCCACAACAGTGGCCTCTGCTTGCTGCCAGTGACAGATCATTGCACAGCTTAACAAGTATAAACATTACAAAGCAGAAATTATATGCCTAGATACCACTGGGACTGAGTAAATAACCAAAAAAAATATATATAGTTCTCCACCCCCATATGATTTTTTTTTTCCAGTGCCTCTCCATATTTTCACAAAGCCTATTATGAGCATAGAGATGACAAATATGCTGTTGCTTTGATAAATAAACAAGGAACATCAGCTCTATTAGATCAGAGCATGTAAAATGAGCATAAAATGCACCAACACCTTCTTTGTATTTGAATCCTTAATACTGAAAGAGGAGCAAGAAGCAACGGCAGCAGTTCTAACTACAGAACCCCATCTTTAAGTGAGCAGTATTTACATTGTACTGGGTGCGAGTTCGCCTTTCAGTAACAAGCTAGCACAAATCTCTATGTTTTAAGGAAAAAACCAAAAAAAAACCAAAAAAAAAACCACCCCATATGACTGGAAAGGTTTTCTCCCATAATTTCCTTAGATGTGGGGGTCCTTAGCCAAGTCTGTCTTGTTTTCTTTCAAAAGATGTGTGGCAGGACGGGGCCTGGGGTGCTGTGACCTCCCCTCGCGCCCCCTACCTACCATGCCAAATCAGGCCTAATGCACCCTCCATATCTCACCCGCCACGTCTTTGCTGTTAATATTGAAGGGAGGCTGCCTTGTTAACCCTCCTTGACACGGTGCCTTAAGATGTCTCCTGGCTCTGCCTAGTTGTTCGGTGCCCCTGCCTTATGGGCTTCCAATCTATATGCCCGCACCGGAGCCGGTCTCACGCGCTCACCTCAGCCTTACCTGGCCCTCAGGACCCTTTTCTGCGTCCTACGCCCCACTGGGGCTTTCCCACAATTGGGGCTCAGGTGGCCTCAGCCTTACCTGGCCCCCAAAACCCCCTTTGCAGGTCCTATGCCCCACTGGGGCTTTTCCCACAATTGGGGCTCAGGCAGCCTCAGCCTTACCTAGCCCCCAGACCCCCTTTCAGGGTCCTACGCCCCACTGGGGCTTTCCCACAATTGGAGCTCAGGCGGCCTCAGCCTTACCTGGTCTTCTGGTCTCTCACTCCAGGGCTTCTCGCTGCCCCCTACCAAAGCTGCACCCTCTGCGGCACTAGGAACCCCCCCACGCTACTGTGGGGTCCCTATGAGGCCTTCTCCACCCCTTATAGCCTTGTCCGGTCCTCTGGTGTTATATCACAACCAAAACAGAAAATACAAAGCCCCTTGGCTACAACATAAATCCTAAGCCAACCTGGCTATCCTGCGTCCATATCCCTGTCAGGGTCCTCTTCACCCGTATCATCATGCCAAACACTGCTCAAGCCATCCAGCTCCCTTACTATGCCCACCCTGCTTGCTCCAGCAGAGCTCCCACTTCTTAGGCTGCCAGAGGGGAACTGACCTTCCAGCCTCAGCCTGTCTGTTGATATAGGCCAGGCCCTGTCCCCTCCTGGTCAGCTGACCCACCTGGTTGTCTCACCCCCACCTGTGCTGCCCTGGTGACTGGCAGCTGAGCCCATTTTACTGTTACCAGTAGCAGGCACCCTAGTGCCCTGCTACACACCTCCCCCCCTTCAGCTCATGACTCACCGAGCCGAGTCTTCCATTATTCATACCACGACTGCTCGTCCATCTCTCAGGCTCGGGTTCTTGTTCTCCGGTCTTCTCCCCTTACATTGGCAGAGGTTTTGAGGTGCCTCCTCCTCACCTTTTACCCAAGGCACAACATGTGGGATTTCTTGGGAGTTGCCCCGCCGCAGGCAGTCCCCTCACATAAGCCAACCTTGGTGGATTGTCTTCCTCGACTGTCGAGACCTGGCCTACCCCCTGGGAGTTTCCTCCTCTTGTTGTTTCCATCCATCTCTGCTCCATCCCCATGTCTCTTGGTCTTCTCCTCTGAGACTGGCGTGGGGGCTGTTGCCTCTCTACAGCTCTTTGGAGATCCTGGATCCTTCTCCAGATCTCCCACTGTCGGTCTAATGCTCTCAGGGCATCCTCTCTCCTCCAAAACTGTACCTTCCCCCAGCCTGTAGACTCTCCTCAGGGCCCCTTATAGATCTTCACATAGGCTACCCCTCCTACTTTCTCTTCAATGACATTCCTCAGCAACTGCCACCCGACTTGTCTGGGGAGGTTGTTCACATAGATCTCTGGTCTTTCCTCCCGTTTTAGTTCCCCTTTGGGTAATGGCTTTCTACCCCTTGTTTCCTGCCCCTTGGCACTCCTTTTACTGGGTTCTGCTTGTTCCCCTTCTTGTCGGGAGTGCCCTAGGTCTTTGTCGCACTGGGCCCTGCTCTGGGTCCATTGCGCCACCAGCTTCACTCCCTGGGGAAACTAGTGCATTCTCTCCAGCTGCCCCTGCTTTTACCAGT